TTCAGTTTTGTCCATTTCTAGCCACCTATAGTGCAGGGGTCCAAACATGACTCCTGGGAAGCTAGATGTCAGTAATCCTAATACCCTTGCTACCTCTCGGATAAATGGCGTAGCCTGCTCTAAAAGGTTCTGGCAGGTAGTCTTGACTTTGCAAAATTTCTTAGGTGTGAGAGATACTCTCATAGTCCGAGAATTTATTATAAACCCAAGGAACACAAGTTCTTGGGTAGGTGTAAGCACAGATTTTACTGGGTGAATAGTAAAACCTAAGCTATTGAGTAATGTGACAAAATCAATAATATTTTGAACACAGAGTTCATAAGTATCTGCTTGCAGGTAAGAATCATCAATATAACCTACTGATAGGTTCCCCATTTGGCGAAGTTTGGAGTATGCAGGTTTAAGGATCTTATTAAATTTTCTTGGGAAAAATGCTAAACCATTCGGGAAGCATGTAAATTGACAAAGATTACCCCTCCATGAGAATTAGCAATAGCAACTGAATAGTAACCATATTTAAGATCTATGCTAGCCATAAAGCAGCCAGGTGTGACCATTTCGATTGCAGTCGCAATTGTATCCATCTTGAAGTGATAGTATTCAAGATACTGGTTTAGGGATTTTAAGTTAAGAATCATACGATAGCAGCTGTCCTTTTTTGGACGTAGGAAAATAGTTGCAATGAAATCATGTTGTTCTCGAATTGTGGGTTCAATAATTCCTTTTTCCTGTAGTGCAAGGATCTCTGAATCTATAAATCGTGCTTGTTTATCAGACCATTGTGGTTGATAAGGAGGTTTAACCTGCATCGGTATGTGTGTAAAGTTCATACTGTGCCCTTCAACCGTGTCTTTCTCGTCAGTTGTCAATGTTTTCCACTGGGAAATTTTGCCAGTTATCTGGCCCGCTCTGAACGTTAGAATCTCAAACCTGCAGTACTCCAGAAATTGTGGTAACGTTATGTTTTAATTGCTTACCGTAAGAGTGGGCATTTGTTTTTGTATTTCTTTGTTTGAATCTCGGCACGCTTCGTGCGGTTGTAATTGGAGTAGCTCTTCGTTTTGTGGTTCTGCCGTCCCTGGGTCGGCGGTGCACGATATAAAAACTGCTTGCCGTGATACCTGCCGTTAATGTTGCTCTGTCGCTTCTGCGAGTGGGATGATTTGCTGGCTGTGGAGCCAATTTTATTAGCAGCTCTAACATGAGTTAGCAGGGTCTGGAGTTCGTCTCCAAATAGTAGCTCTGTCACTGGAATGTTAGAAGAGCAAAGGTCACCATAGTCCTCWGTGTGAAGGTTGGGCTTAATTTCGCCTCCTCTGACTTGTGAAATTTCATAACTTGCATGCCCGAGCAATTGCAATGAATCAGTTGTCACTACAACTAAGTTATTAAGCTCTTTAGCTATTTCTCGGTCGACTTTTGTCTTAAGTTTCAACAATAAATCAGTTGATTTGACAATTGCGTAAGCCGCCTTCGAGGTGGTGGTTTGTAGGCGGGAAAGATTGAGACCTTTGCCACGAGCTTCTCGTGGGAGTTTTGACCAAATTTCTTCATTCACTTTAGACAATGTGATAAGCTCGGCGCAGTTGGATGATCGATGATATTTCTGGCTTTTTTCTTTCATCTGGTCTTCCGAAAATTTGTATAACGATCCTTTATCGGAGATTTTGGCTAATTTCTCAGAGACGGCTGCAGCTGTCTTCTCCGACTCGTCCAGTGATTGAGCGATATCGTCTAAGACATCATGTTCCCCGGCAGATTCTTCCGCCTTACTAGTTTGGGATGGTTCTCCTTCATTAAGGAGATAATTTACATCAGTTGAAATACCTGATTCATGCGAATGTAGCGACTTTTTACTCATAGCAGATGCTTCTGAGTCGTCGGCCCCATGAATACGTTTGAGCGATTCGTTCATAGCAGCCATATTTCGGCTTAAACTAGACATCATATTCATCATGAGGGCGTATGTATCCTGTTGTTGATCGTCAGAACCAAAGTCTTCGTATTGCAAGAGTTCGTTTTCATCTTTTTCTGTCATTATCCTGAGAATTAAGTCAGATAAAATGTGTATACGGGAGTCCAACTTTCGTTGGACTGTTCGCTTGAAAACCGAACGCAACTGATTGCTTGCTTACCGCACACTATCTCACGTGACTTCGTAGTGACGTAGACCAATGACGAAGTAGAATTAATTCTTTCAGCACGGTTTATTTGATGGACGTGCGGATTTCTTCGCACTATTTTTAGTTTCGTTTTTACATAAAGTGATGCTGCGTCTTCGGGTTATTAAGATTCAAATAAGATGACACTAATTTTAACTCGTGAATAGGTTGTATACAAGTTAGAGAAGTTCGATGTTGGAAGAAATTATGTCTATGAAAACTAATAGGATAGCATTCCAAATCACTGCTTGAATGAGCTATAAAGGTAGATTTAAAGAAAAAACATAAGACTGCGTCTGAGGGTCTCCACTAAGCCGTAAGACAGCCAAAAGATTAGCCGTAAGGCCTAAAATTTGCCAATTTTTAACCGTTAGTCGTGATGAAATTCACCGTAAAACGTTTCCTGATGACCACGATGGAAAGATATCAACCGTTAGCCGTAAATTGGCCAAAATTTTTAACCTTAAACCGTAAAAGCCGTCAACCCATGAGGACCCTCACGTTTGCAAGGTTGGGACGTGGAGTAGGTTTATTCAACATTTCCGTTTTAACTTTGTTATGGAGAGTGCCATTATTTTCTAGAAAGCGTTGTGTTATATAATTACTAAAATTAGAACTGAGGAAGTTTCTGGAACGCTTAGTCATGCATGCTGACTCATTAAGAACTCTTAATCTCCAAAGACATGAAGCTCAATAGCAGATGGGCTATCTGCGACATGACGATAGAAACGGAGGACGCGAAATTGTGAATCCCATCCAGTTTTTCTTGCCACTTAGACCACTCCACTAGAAGCTCTGATGGCAGTACATCGTCCCAACCAATACAAACTGTCATACCTGCTTAGCATTTAAAGGGATGGTCTAAGTCACAGGCTCCAACAGTACACACCCCACTAAAACACTGTCAAACTAAAAAGCCTGGGAGCTACATTGATTTCAGTCCCAGGGGAGAGCGGAAAAAGAATTCGGTGACTTATTAAAATTGACCTTCTGGGCGTCAGCTTTCGCATGTAGTGTCACGTGACTTACGATGTAAACAAACCTCCAAAGTTCGGACATTGGTTTCACTCACGTGTAGGAACTTCTAGTCGCTATTTCAAGTTTCTGTTGATAAAGCCGGTTTTTCGCATGATCTATAGTCTCTAAAATTCGAATATCGAATAGAACATCCATTCTTACCCACGTACTGTACGTGGTCGGACCACGAGTCGCATATTTTGGCGAAAAGACACCCCGGACCGTCTGTTAAGGCTATAAACGAAATGGTTACGACAAAAAGATGTGCTTATGGTACTTGTAGAAACGATTCCCGATACCCCCAGTCTTGGAAAAGAAATTCAAATGATGATCCAATTAAGTTTTTCCATTTTCCTGGGGCAGTTAGACAAAACTGAGAGACGGAAAAGAAATTCAAATGATGATCCAGTTAAGTTTTTCCATTTTCCTGGGGCAGTTAGACAAAACTGAGAGACGGAAAAGAAATTCAAATGATGATCCAGTTAAGTTTTTCCATTTTCCTGGGGCAGTTAGACAAAACTGAGAGACGGAAAAGAAATTCAAATGATGATCCAGTTAAGTTTTTCCATTTTTCTGGGGCAGTTAGACAAAATGAGAGACGACAAAGGTGGATTACTGCATGTCATCGCGGTGACTCGTCCGTTTGTACGAAGAATAGTTACATTTGCAGTGTACACTTTGTTGGTGGAAATGGTCCAACAAAACAGTATCCTGTTCCAATATCAGCTGTTGCCAGTAAAGAAAAGGTAAGTCTGTCGGTTTTTCTGTTTATAACACTATTTGTCGCTTGAAATATTGCGTGCCGTGCGTAGGTGATGCGGCTCAATCGCAAAAGAAAGGCATCTGATGAACGTGAAGCAGACAAAGACAGAAGCAAGAAAATTTTCCTTGAACGATATGCGGCGAAAACCCAATTGACCCTTCATGTTCAGCATTGACATATGAATTTGGATCACTTTCATACATCTTCAGATCCTAAAGAATAGCTAAAATGAATGTGACATTCTATATTACATAATTTAGTAGAAGTCAAGAGAAACTACTAACATGAAATATCTGCCTACTTTTTTGGGTTGAGACATAAAACGATTTCATCCCACGCACTGTACACTGTACCTTTAAGAAGATGATGTCCTAAACGATTTTGCCGACATAACGATATTTAGATTTAGATTAGATTTGGATTCCTATTTTGCTTAATATCTCGCTTACCGTGAGCAGTCACTTCTGATATTGTTGTCCGTTTTTCGCGTCGGATTTGATACACAATTCCACCGGCTATGTTATAAAACAATTGGTTCATGCTTTTAGCTATGCACTATCGAGTTATGGAGTACGCGGGAAGTATGGAGAGCACTCAAGAAGCTAGAGTGGCCCTTGGCTATCGCCTCGGGAAACTCTTACGCTTCTTTCGTGCCCACCAAACTTCCCGAGTATTCCATAACTCGATAGTGCACGCTAAACGACGAGTCGTGCTCCATTGGGCATGCGTGATAGGATCGAAGCCCGTTTTCCTAACTTCCGGTAGGTCACGTTCACGTTCTCGTCGTCATTGCTAAAGGTCCCTAAGCAGCCTCCTACGACGAACTGAAGTCACTGTAGTCACTCACTCTAAATTCTAAATATCCGTAAGCGGTAATTGCCTCAGTTTTTTTTAGTTAATGATTCAAAGATGTCCTTTGTGAATATCATTTTTCCCCTCTTGGAAAAGTTAATAGTCTTGCGTAGCCATACTTGGAGAGCGTGACACAATACTCGCAAACAGGAAGTCGACTGGAATTCTCAGAAATCCGTGAATTCTTTCCCCACGTTAAGATTTATCGCCTTTGTTACGCTTTGTGGTCGTCGTTCAGAGGACCCTACTTTTTGGTGAACTTGTAGTATTCAAAGGTTCCTACTAAAAGTTTGATGTTTTGTAGCATGGTGAAAGAGTGAAAAAAAAAGATAATTCTTTGAAAGTCACAAGGTTTTAAACGGCTGCTACGCGCCTACGAGCTTCGACGAAGGTGCCTCAGGTAAACTTTGCATATTTAGAGTAGATTTTCGGGTTTTTCTGCTCTCCTCCCGATTTCTGTTGGTATTTGGTATTTCTAGCTGAAACCTACGATTGACCGAAGTTTGTGGCGATGAACAAATTCTCGCTTAAGTCTCGTTTCAAACGGACGACAACACTACGGCGGCAGCAACAACCAAGTCCACCATGCCGTTTAAAAAAGAACAATTACTCATGAAATTTGTGGGAACAACCCATGTAAAGCAACGTTTCCCTCAATGAGATAATCAAGTTTAATGAAAATGATAAATCGAAAGTGACTTCGCCAGATTTGAAATGCAGTGTAAAAATATTATTGCGATAATATTTCCGTTATTCGAAAATGAAATACGCGGCCATAGGCTATCGTAAAGGCTGATAGTTTCGAAAGAAACTGTTTGGGGCTGCGTCGGTGGGGGTAACGAAATAATTTGAATATATCAACAAAGTTGAAATGGTAAATTGGCCACCGTTACGATTATAAAAGCTGACGTTTCAAGCGTTAGCCCTTCGAACACATATGCTATCGTGTTTACAACCTGTTCCGTGGTTAAACGAATGGTCAAAGACTCGTTTCTCGTCTTCCATTAAAAAAAAGTTTCGCAAGACAAATAAACTAATATTGTTTTAAAATAGTAACAGTAAAAAGCTCATCATATTTGGCTCGTTTTAGATATTTTCATATTGGATAGAAAACTGAAACGATATTGACATTATCAGATTATGTAAAAGTCACGTGAATCCCACATGGCTGGTCTCATTGTCATTGTCCACTTTCTGTCAATAGAAAGCGAGAACATTGTCGGTAATGTAGGGCTGGAAACACTCGTCATCATAATATCTAAACTAATTATAATTTGCTATTTACAATAAAAGCGGCGGTTTTTTTAAAGTCTGTCGGGAATTTTTTACTTTCAGTTAGAACAGAGTTAATAGAGGGTTAGAAGATCCCTATACTTTTCACTTGAAGCGTGATTGGGCGATTTTTTTTTTTTCTCGTGAATCGTGATTTGAATTTTTTTTTTTTTTCGTGAATCGTGATTAAAGGTGGTAAGATCTTTTCATGTCCACGTAAACGAATTTTCTTATTTAAATGTGACCCGTGAATGAAGAGCTGAATTGAACGTCACGGATTCATGAACCATTTTGTTTCGGGCACTCAATTTCTGGCTATTTTATTATATTTCTTAATGTACATATTGTTCTAGAACGACTGTGGTTAGGTGTTGACAGGAGCTGGACTTCATGTGGATCGACAGAAGTCGCAAAACTGACCTTTACTGGTTCTTAAACAACCAAGATGAGACATTACATCATCTTTTGTCGCGTAAAACAACCGCAAAAATAGAATAGTAATATTAATTATATTCAACGTGATTGTCTTGAATTGCACATGAGAGTGAAAGAGTTTTAGATATTATTCGTTAAGCGTTAAAAGGCCAAATACTTTTAAGTGACTGAGTTTAACAAAGGGCCCGGTATAAGGGACCCTCTACGATGCGGTCTATGATTGCTCCAATAATAGACTTTAACGATCTTTCGTAATGGGGGAGCGCTCTGTGAGGCAAACAGCACATACCCAGAAAACATTTACCCAAGTAAACTCCCTCGCCCCGAGGTTATTAGGTTTCAAAGTTTGCTTTGGAGAGAAAGAAAGGCAAGTATAACAGACCGTATTGTCATCAACTAAGTTGGATAAATGTTCGGTGTAGTTTCTAATTCAGAGGAATAACCTCAACATTTGTTTTCTATGCAGGATGGCCGAGGGAGGCGAAGATTATTATTCAACATCCGATTTGGACTCGGATGTTCCTGTGGTTGACTCCAGTGATGGCGAAAATGACAGCGACGATGTCACTGAGGATTGTAGTGAGGATGACGATGTTGAGCACCTTTGTAAGAAAACTGATGACAAATCTTTTCTTTGAACTGGTTTTAATGGGTGCAAATGATTATCAACTGAGTTTGCCTTGTGGCTCATTTACTGTAGAGTGCTGATAATCGAATGGAGATGCGATCTATTTCTTGTAAAAAATTAATTATCGCCGGTTGAAACATAATGTTTCGGCTTTCTGTCAATCTACTTATGTTTTTACTTCGATTTTAAGTTTATTTACTTTGATTAACTTTAATTTTAAATTTCCTCCCACTTTGTTACTAGCGCCTAGATCTATCATTGGATAGGTGCTATACAAATGACATCATCATCATCATCATTATTATTTTTATTGCCGGTAGACTTAACATGAAAGTGTAACATAAAATTTCAAGTAGTTGCTTTAAAACGTCTATCTTCATTTTTACTGTTTTGTTCTTGTTTTTTTTTTATTATTAATTTTTATTAATGTTTTTATTTTATTTTGTTTGGTCTATCTTTTATGTTATTCATTGATTTTTTTTTTCCAAGAAATACCGGCACTATGCAATTTACGACACAATCCACTGAACCCTAGTATTACAGTTCTTACAACATTTGTACTCCTAACAATGCATCAACCATCATAAAATATTACTCTATCTATGAAAGCGCGGTTCATCTCAATTCTAAGGTTAACTAAAATGTGGTTTCCCAACATGTGATTGTAGGAGACGCAGGCGCCTAACGGTCAGTGCACTGGACTTCGGGTGGAGAGATCTGGGTTCGAGACCTGGCCGGGTCAATGCGTTGTGTCCTTGGGTAAAATACTCACAGTGCCTCTCTTTCCATCCAGGAGTAGAAATGGGTACTAGCAAGTGAATCGTTATAGGGAAGCCCGATGAAATGCTGGGGGGTAACGTTACAATGGACTAGCATCTCTGCATCCAGGGGGAAAAAGGACTACTCCTTGTCGCTTCTTGGAAACCGAGATAAGCAGTAGCTGGGTGGATCGGTTGGCTCGAGAACAGACTTTTCCTACATGTGGTTGACTGTTCCCCTATAAATAATAATCTAATGGTAACAATGAAATAATACGGTTTGCGCAGATTCATTATTCCTTGCACACAAACTGTTTTCTGATAATGTCACTTGCGTAGAAATCTAATGTTGTGGTTACTGCTGTAGCTGGCAGTGAAGAAGAAGAAGAAGACGAAGAAGAATTCCAATTGGAAGATGAGGAGGAAGAGCAAATTGACGACGACGAGGAAAGACAATTTGTTAAAGAGCCAGATCAGCTAAATAAAGGTTAGGTCGTGAAAAATACTTCAACCACAAAAATTAGGACTGTTTTCCAGACCTAAACCATTTATTTTACAATTCCCGACCACAAGGTCGCGTAAATCAAGTGGTCTAAACCTCATTAAAACACAGACAAGCAATGCGTACAAACAAGCTAAACCAAATGTTAATGTTCAGTCGCGACAGGTAGTCTGACTGGCGTCAAATCATTTTTCAGGCGCGCTAAATGTTCCCACCTCTAAACGAACGCATTGCAGATAATGTTGCATATTCTGCATCCTTGTCGCTTTGGTTTTGGGGGAAATAATCATTACACTACTCAAGTGTTGGAGCAGAATTTAATTTTTTCTCACAAAAAATGTTTTTGAACGATATCAGAAGAGAAGCTGTCAGTTTTGACTCTGTACTTCGAATTTAAGAAATTCAACAGAGGGGATGATTCAACGATCTATAAGATTTTGGATCAATTAGTTATATACCACTTGATTTGATTGTCATAGGTGGAACTCCAGAAGAATCGCGCAAGGATGGTTTTGACAAGGATGACAAACCTCCTAAACCTCCACCCAACTTCTCCAATAGTATGCGTTTGGTTAGAAAGAGATTTTATGGCCAACTAGTGGACACAAAGTTAGTATACAAATCAGACCACAGCTGGTTAGCTCATGTTGTGGACCGCTGGACTGTCGTTTCGTCGAGGGTTCAAACCCCAGACCGGACAAACAATGAGGGTCTTAAAATAACTGAGGAGAATTTGCTGACTTTGCTATGAAATGTGCAAATAGTTAGACATTCCAGTCTTCTCAGATAGATCCCGTAGACCCCGTCTCCTGCATTTTTTTCTGTACTGGTCAGCAGGGTACATTGAAGGACCCACGCACTTTCCGTAAAGAGTATGGAACGTAGCTCCCGGTGTTGTGGTCTGGTCTTGTTATATTGTAAAATTTCCCCAGATGTATTTCCTATATAGAGAGAGGTGGGCAACAATGGAGGAAGAAGAAGAAGAAGAAGAAGATGGAAAGTGGAATTACATAATGCGTATGAAAATCGATAAAATGATGAGTTTTGAAGGAAGAATTGCAAGCAGTCAGGAATGAATCAGTCCCAAGCTTTATCGTGGTTCTTATTATAAGAAATTAATTTGGAGTCAGTGCGGCAGCTGCATTCAGCGACCTAAAAATTCAAATTCAAATCTACCTAAATTTTGGAACAAGCATTAGATATTTTGATAACGAAACAATGGGTCCTCAAGCAAGAAATACTCAGTATTCCTTTTCTGCTCAACAGATTTGTTAACGTCCTGACAGATTTTGCAGACGCGGAGATTTTCCTTATAGATGGCGATTCCTTGCTGTTAGAGATTCTTGGTGAGAAAAGCTTGGACTGGAATAGCGGTGGACAGTTTTTGCACCTTACATACTTGACAGAGCGATTTTTGCAAACCTTCACAGAAAAAGGTTAGTGTAAAGGTGGCTAGACGCTTCCAACATGGCAGATTCCATAAGAATGCACATGTGGGTTTCCTCACTTCAAATCAAACTCGTTCTTGATTTTGATAAAGTGAGTGACATATTGCTTTTCATTCTAAAAAAATTTAAATCATATGTTGAAGCCACCGATTTCGTTTCCTTAGTCTCCTTTTCTTCTTCACTCGCAAGGAATTACTTGCATAATTCGAAGTCGTATGGAGTTTTCTCCCTTGTGTTGGCATGATGTTGTTCCTTAATTAGCGAAAGATTTTTCTCAACCTTCAGGAGCAAACACAAACAACCGTGTTAAAGCGCACAATGACGTCATAAATGTTTTCACTAATGAGGATATGGAAAATGTACTCGCTAGGTCCCGTATGTTGTTTATCACGAGTTTTACGAATGGTGTACTTTATGGTAAAACACTTGTATCTAGTTTATACATATGATGAAAATGAGGAACACAGGTGACGTGGCGTCCTTGCTTGGTCGCCCCAAGGTCTGTCGCTCCCAATTATGGTTCATCGCGCTGAAGTATGGTTCCTTTACTAAGTTTAAGCTAAAAATTGGGGGTGATGCAAACATACTTCATGGAAAAGGGACTTCCATGGGGATGAAGGAACTTGGGGCGACAATGCAAAGGAGAGGCATCACCTATAATCTACTCTTGTGAACGGTGGTTGTCTCTTTCAAGGTGGCGCTTTCCACATCGTGTTTCTTAAAGAAATGGAGATCATCTGGAGAAGTAATCCGTCCATGCTGCTCGCTCGAGAAGCTCTTATTCTTCACCTCCAGAACAACACAGATTTTACTGTGAAAACTTTAATAGTGAATTTCTGGGGAAAGGAGTGGAAAGATTACGTTAATGAGGAGGTCCCTGCGTTTTTGCTGTTAGCAGATGCTGAAAACATTCCTTACCAGCATGGAAAGCTAAAAGAAACAATAGAATATTTTTTCCGATGTCTGTTGTGTCATTGTCTTGCACATGGACTGAATTGTGTGTTTATCTCGGGCATCCAGACAACTGCGACCAAAGTGATGGGATTTTACAGCTATTCCTCAGCTATTCACAAAAAGTATTTTACGAAGGTAAAAAACATTATCACTAGAAACTTACATATTATTGAAGGATGTAAATTTACACTTCTACTTTAAAATAGTTTTCAATTCACTGTCGAAAGTAATCAGGTAATTGATTGATGCTTTGATTTTCTCTTCGTGATTGGTCGAGGAAACTTGTATTTTCCAGTCCACTAATCAGTTGCAAAACTACAGCCAAAGTCGATTTCCCTTAGAAATATCCTCTGTTTAAGTAATAAACTTGCGTTTTACAAACCTGTTTAATTTCGTTGATTGGGTTTTTAGTTTGAACAACCAATATGGAGGACATGGCAATTTCTGGTGAATTTCTGGCAAGATGAGGCAGATAAATGCGGTCCCAGATGGTCGGAAACATTTCCTCGAGATACTAAGGCGGGTATTTCATTTAATCATGTCCGAGACAGTTCAAGGGCGCCCTTAATGTTTTATCTTAAATACATCTATAACTTAACAGTCTCTGATGAATGTTCAGTTAATTCAATGCCAAAACATCAACAACGCAAAATAAATTTTCTTGTCTATAAATTTTTTAATTCCAAATTGAAAGTCTGGATGTTCTCAGTTTAAATCTGACGAAATTCTGAGAAGGACTTGTCTCTAAAAAGTCACTTCCCATAGAGTATACATGCCTGCTCTCAAGATCGGGAAACAGCTATCGAATTTAACCTTAGAAAAAAAGAACTTAATACAATATACAGGGGCAGTTTGATCTGATTTACGTAGATGTAAGGTTGTTCTCTGATATTATTGTCGATTCCTGATGATTAACCAGTTGGTATGGATTTATTTCTTTTCTTACTCTAATATGTGGACATACCTCAGATTGCTGTAGAAGCAGAAGTGCGCAAAGCTCTTCAGCCTCCACCACAAGGCGGCTGCCGGCAGGTTTCCACAGTTGTTGCGTGTGCGCTGATCCTATCTAAAGCTCTCAAGGACCCTAGCACTACAAAGGTACGAAAGTTACACATTGAGTTTAAATTGAGAACCACCTGAGCTGTGACACAGTCAAATATGTTACGAAAGGACATAAATGATACGAGGGTCTATCTTTCCTCTGCGCTTCCAGAAAACGATGAAAACTGCAGAGGACAAGATGAAGCTTTTCTTGCTTCACACTGTATTACTGAACAAACTGCCGTTGAAGTGTAGAGCTCACCTCATAGACGAAAACTTGCTGAATGAATTCTGTAAAGCAAAGGATGGCAACCTCTATCCCTTTAACGAGGTTAGTGAGGGTGTATGACTAATGATCATGCGGTCGACTCTCTCGCAACTGACAAGTGGAGATATGCAACTTCGACCGCATCGTTTTCCAGATAACGAAAGACTTTTCTATGAAGCGACTAGTGCTAGCCAAAAACCTTATCTAATTCCTATGGAATTTATGAGGGGTTTATGAGCCTCCAAGAATAAGGCAAATCCTGAAGGTGAAGAATTTTTTTAAGTATTTTGCTTAGAAAGAAGGTAATGTATCTCTTCCTGCCATGAATGAATAAGCATGGCTTAGCAAATTAAATTACTTTTGAACATCATGCCTTTACTTTCTCTTTAGAAATGTGTACACCGCGTATTTTACAGTTTTGCTTAGAGAAGATTTATGTTAAAAGGATTTATGTTTCGTTTCTTAGAATTTTTACGACGCATACAAATTTGAAACAAAAAAATATGACACAGTACTCATTACAGACGTGATACGTTACTTTATTATCTGCTGACAGATCCACGTGTGTTTATGGGAGATTTTAAAAACTATACAAGTTGTGCAGGGAAATCAAAGAAGAGACGAAACGGGCAATGACTTTTTCAAGTCAGTGGCCGATTTGATGGATGGACGTCTGATCCATACTCTCTTTTGCGCTGTCTTGGAGCAAAGGTTAAAAGGCATTGAAGGTGGGTTATGAGAATGGTTAAGTCAGAGAGCACATTTATTGCGTGTGAGGGAAATCCTCGGTGATGACATATAATTCCTTAGAACTGTTAGGACCGCGTGGATTGTTGTTTTGTTTTGCTTTGTTTGGATATATTTGTCGTTCTTGTTCATTTTTTCGTTCTTCAAGTTACACCTTTTTTTGGGGAGCGCACGGGTACACTAAGCCACCGCTGTGTTAACCATATCATACAGTGTTGACTGAGCTGTGTGCGTGCGATAGCTTAGAACAATCCACATTTAACTGCACCTGTATTTATATCTTCTTCTTGTCCTCTTCTGGTATTAGGACTCAATCTTCCGGAGGATGTCATCGAGGAAGTAGAAGATGCATGGATAAAAGTTGTAGATGTTGTAAACAAGTCATGCAGTTCTCATTCCCCTGATGCTCAGTTTTTTCCCTTTATCGAGGATGTGGCAGATTTTCATGCAGCAGATGGTGAGAAATGTTTGCCTGCAAGTTGTTGTATGCGAATAATTTTTCTTATTTATATCTCTTTTTCCTAATTTATCTCTACATTTTCTAATTAAAGGACTTGTTATTCTTTTCATTTTGCATGGATTGTGAAATTCCCTTCTTTTCTCTTCTTTCGATCTTGGAAACATAGTTTAACCTTGTTTACTGCATTCGTTGAATTATTACTATGGTTTTTCTGTACTGTTGCGCGATGGAGTACAAGTCTTGAACTTGTTTCATATTTGTGAGTGGGTAAAAAAGTCTTGAAAAAGTCTTAGGTCAGGTCAGTTTGAACTAATGCTATGTTGGCTCCATTTACGCGAAAAGAAGCTAAACATCCATTTTTACAGCTGCAGGCTTTAGTTTCATTCTTTTAAAAGTGAAGTGGACATATTTTTCAGTAGCCATACTAAGTGAAGCGAACTTAAAAATATTACGTGCTTATTTTGTTCTGCTACAGCAGTTTCAGTGGTGCGTTCTGATGCAGACTCCACCATGAAGCTGAGGCGCCTTACTGAAGTGCAAAGTGATCTTGTGAATTCTTATGCTGGGGACATCCGATCAGAAATTAACGTCATGGCAGAGTAAGTTAATAAAAAGCTTATTTTGAATAAGCCGTGTCTTACATCGTGTGGCTTATACTTGTTTTCTCCTCGTCGGAGGAGCTTGTAAAACCTGCTTGATTCTTCCTTGCCCAGGCATGTCCGCTGTCTTGCAATTCGCATGCCCCGTCGCCTTTACTTCGACAAAGTTAAACGAGATTCGTGGTTTTCAAAGCCGGCAAACATCAGGACTAGAAAAATAATGCTGCAGTTCATGTTGGGCGTTTTTCTCTGGTACAATGTTTTTTTTATGTTTCTACATATTGAGACAAGTGATTGATTGAGTGTTTCTTTTTATTATATATTAGCTTATAGTTAATTGAACTGCTGATTTATAAACGGTCAGGCTCGAAAAACATGACAAAAACACGGTCATTTAAAAATTTGTCGAGCTTCGGAAACCTTGTCCCCTTGATTATCAACCACGAGGTCACCACTAAAATTGAACAAGTATCGGGCATTAGGAATTGCATTCCGGAGAGGATGCAAGACTAATTGAATTGACGTGCTCAGTCAAGTGAACTCAACAGAAACCCTGAAAACAACTTTTTGTCCTATCGTATTATGCAGTTGTTTTGTTGTTGTTGTTGTTTTTTTTTTTTCATATTGTTTTATGAAGGGTCTGTCCATACTCTGCAGAGAAATGATCATGAGTGACGACGAGATATCTAATGTTGGTCAAGAATTTGATGAACTATACCACTGGCATTCTCTTAAGCCTCTTTCTGATGATTATGACAGAACAAAGAAATCTATTACTGGTAAAATACCTCCAATCTTATTAAAGTTGAAATGTAACCAGCAAAGAATTATCTTCACTCTATGACATCACAGCACATTTTTAAATGATGTTGTCGATACATCTGTTTCAGATAATCCTCCAAACAATCCTTGGCTAAGGAAACGGTATTATAAGGATAAGCAAAAATTTGTCCGTTTTCAAAGATTCTACGGTAACTCACTGGTTGGTGGCAGTGATCAACAAAAAATCATCACTGTCACAAAGTCAGGATCAAAGAAGAAAACAGGAAAAAGAAAGGAAAGAAAACAGGTTAGTTTTGTCAGGGAGACAATGATAGAAGTCAATAATGTTAAACAAGTTTTTTTTTTTTTTTTTATCGTTGGAACGATAGATTTCTCGTTGTTTGGGACCCCTGATGATATACTCGCCTTAGTTTTTGATATGATACTTCAATTGTTTCCTCGAAACGTGCTCACTTTTAACTTTCTTACAGAGCAAAAAGGCTGCAGCAATTATCGAGGAACGTCTTGACGAAACTTCGAGTAAGTCTGTAATATCATCAGTTTCATGTGTTCCGCAACTATTCCGCAGTAGTACTCTACGTGGGATAAGATGACAAGTCAGGAACTTATCTTCCCAAATTTACCAGCATTTATGTCACTGCAGAAATACGAGAGAGAGAGAGAGCAAATTCCGGCCTCCACCCCGATTCAATGAAAAAATATGAACTTTACTTTTCGCAACTTTTTCTTTTTACAGAGAAAGCGAGATTGAAAGATCAAGAAAAATGGGATGTCATTGTAAGGGACATCGAAACAAATCTGAGGAGAGATAACTTCAGCGATGTTCTCAAATTGATTGATAAATATCTAATAGTTTGCAAATCTTCAGAACTTCGTCTTCGCGCGCTCATGAAAAAAGTCGACAGTTGCTTTGAAGCCTGGAAACAGATAAGTAAGTAATTGAAACGAAGAGTCTCATTTGACTTTACGTTAGCTATGTTGGTAAAACAGAACAACAGAATGACGGCCATGTTAGTGTTTTAAGTCAGTTTTCCTGAATTTGAATTCCTTTATTATTACGATTTTTTGAAAAAAAATCCTTCCAATTGTTCCAAGAAAATTTACTTAGCCTCTTACAACGCCGTAGAGAATGTTCTTTTGGGCGAAAAGGAAATTTTCCCAAAGTAGCATTACCCCTAGGAATCTGAGAGTGCATTTGCACGACAAGGATAATTAAGTTGCACCGCATTTTAACAAAAAAATTTTTATCTAGGAACTGCTAACCCAGGATCTAATGAAATGAAATACCCTGTACTTTTGATGGAAAGCGTTCACAAAATATGTCAAGACTTGTCGAGTGTTATGAGAGATAAGAACAAGAAGAAACTTGCTAAAACTATGCAAAAGCTGGGGTTTGACGACCTCGTGCCCTTGTTTTATGAGATGCTACCAGATCGTGAGGCAAAGGTAAATATGCCATTTCGTATCAATCGTTCAACCTATACCTGCGAATCTTGGTTTAATGTACTCTTAATACTCTCTTTATACGCCATAGTCAGAAGAGTAAGAGTAATCGATATGTCTTAAACCTCTCTTTGTCTCTCTTTCTGTAACTAATACACCATTTATAGTCCAAAAAGTAAAAACTGAGCAACGGTTTCCAGTTGATGAAAATTTTATTTGAACTAAAGTAGAAACCATTACTCGTAAGAGACGTCTAATTTATCTGTCCGTGTGACTTTTTATTACTTCCAAAACGAATTTCTTGACCTTGCTTACTGGAATTTCAAATCTCATGGAAAACGTAATATGCTATTTAATATACAATATATGATTCTGAAGATCAGAAATGATCATCGGAGATGAGCGGCATTAGAAGAAGCCATTGAAATTTCAGGTTTTGACGGATTTCGTATTACATTTAAGTGTGAATCAACTTTCGTAATATGAAACGAAAGCTGTCCACATAGCTCTTAGTTACATCTCATTAAAGGTATCATTTGTCCAAGATATCATTAGACAAAATGAGGACTGTCGAGGTAGGAATAAAGAGACCCACAGAATATGTATAAGTCAAAAATTTCTTTTGATCCTAGACTGCACAGCTTTCTGTTCACACCACAAGCTCAAGATTCCAACTTGAATACATGGGGCATTTGCTGAAACGGGAAGAGAGAACCGATCCGGACTCTCGGGTTGAAAATTTTATTCCGGATACATGGCAGGTATATAAGAATAGATCTATTCACCATGCGTAATGGAAGACATACGTATGCATGAAACACTAATGTTTCAATGAAAACTTATGCTTAGTGTCCTTCCAAGGCAGTTTTTTGGCATCACCTCATGCAAGCTCATGAAGACCTCGGTTTTGAAGGAAATTTTCCATTTTAATGCCGGAGTGTTTCTTGTTCATTTCGAAGCGCGAGCTTCTCGATGCTGTTGATAACAATGAGTCAGCGGTGATAGTGGCACCAACTTCGTCAGGGAAGACTTACGCCTCGTACTACTGCATGGAGAAAGTTTTGAGGCAAGACAATGACAGTGTAGTGGTCTATGTTGCACCGACAAAGGTAAAGTGGCTTTCCTTGGTATTTTCTTTCTGTAAGCAACAACCCCGACCTGGTTCTGTATCGAGGCGGGGTTCAAGGAGAAGTACATTCCAGAAACCATGTAATTCAGTTTCATATCGGCCGTGAAGTATATATAAAAATGCGCTTCTAACTTAACCCGCATTTGACATTGTTTCTAAATGGACTGAATCCCGAACATGGGCGAAAAACAACCCAACAACTTGACTACTTAGGCAATACTACACAAAGCGTTTTTTTTTACTAACATGTCGCTGGAGCCCTGTAATTTTTGAGTTAAGAATTAGTACCTATTGGTGTAACTCCTATATTTTCCAACGAGAGGCCAAGAGGTGGATAGAACGTAAGCGGCCATGTGGGTGAGCAAGATTCAAAATGGGGCCTCCAAAGTTACTCTTAGCACATTTAAAGACAATTTTCGGATCGATGTGGGGTAACTCGTTGGAATTTCAAAACGCGGTCAGTGGCAAGATTTTGTTTATACCTTTTATTTGTGGAGTAAAACTTTATAGGATTCCTAGAGCACGCCTCCTCTTTAAATTCTTAATGGCTAATCATGCCATAGTGAACGAGCCCCAAGGTCAAAATAATTAAACCTCAGCCAAAATCTGTCTGCTTTGTTATGGTTGAATTACATCTACAGTTTAATTTGATGTATTCTAGAAAAGCTATCCCCTTTTTTAGTTTTGATCTTTGTCGATGTTTTTCACAAAATAACCCATGAAGCCACCATTTTTATCAACAACTGTCTCAAATTTGTATTTTTCTCAGTCTGTTCAAGTTTTGGATAACTGTGTAAGACTCAATGAGATCTCATTTCTGTGTTGAACCCTCATAGAATCATTTCAAAGAAACAGCAAAAAATATCGGTCGTCTTATTTTATTAACTGCGTCATTATGATAACTAATCAATAGTTACTGTCTCCTCTAGGCATTGGTCAATCAAGTTGTTGCCACAATTTATGCACAGTTTGAAAAACAGATGCCTAAAGGAAGATCAGTGTACGGTATTTTCACAAGAGACTATCGTCAAAACACACTAAATTCCCAGGTAACTAGAAATGAATTTAAAACTAGGTAGCCTAAGTACCTTTCGTTTTCCCTTGGATCAACTCTCATTTGTTTAACATTCTTTGAAAGTACGAAAAAGGTATGAGAAAATGCATCAGATCTCACTGTCTTAGAAACTTACTATTGTCGAGGAAATACTTTTAAAGTTAGTCTTAATACAACATGAGATTCATTGGATTAAGTCGTCTTTGTTTTACATTCTTTGAAAGAATGAAAAAGTATAACAAAATGCCCCAGATCTCACTGGCCTAAAAACTTGCAATTCTTAGGGAAATACTTTTAAGGTGAATCTTTTAAGATTAAAATATTGTATAAAATTTCAGTACTCTATTGTTTGCCATTTTACCTACAGATTCTTGTAACAGTCCCCCAGTGTTTGGAGATCCTCTTCATTTCTCCACACAGACAGCATTGGACTAAGAATGTCAAATACGTGATATTTGATGAGGTAAAACATCGCCATATCCTTCGTTTGCAACGTTAACTAGTAACCGTTTGTCTAATATGCAGTTTCGCTGAGCTGGATGGTTGAATTTAGAAGATGGGTTTATTGAAGAAGCTAGTACAAGCTACTTCCTAGACGTCTGTTTGCTTATTGCTTTGTGGTTAAACGAAGACTAAAGCAAATTCAATGACGCTGTACATAGGTTCATTGCATTGGTTCAGAAACTGGAGCTGAAGTGTGGGAGCATCTCCTTCTTATGATTCGCTGTCCCTTTCTGGCGCTCTCGGCAACCATTGGAAATCCAGAGGACCTAAGACGGTAAGAATCGAAGAAGATATATCAGTTTTTCTCATTAAAGGCTTCAATTGTACTATTGGAAATATATTAGACATGAATTCCTGTGAGAGGTTGAAAGTATTCAATCTCTAATTTACAGCTGGCTGCAAGCAGCCCAAGACTTTCGTGAAAAGCAGGACAGAGAAAACAATGAAGATCTAAGGAAGTCATATCGGATCAGGTTAGGTAGGAAAAACAAACACTCTTAGAGTGCTATGGAATGTTTATCCTTATGTCCTTTGAGCTCACTTTTACTTATTTTTCTTTTTCGAGTTAAGAAAACAAAGTGCTTTTCATAGACTTTCTCTCAATCCGCATGAGTCTGAGTGATGTTTGTATATTTTAATTTTTTGATCTTGCCCAATAAAGCTTGACATATGAATAAAAGCTGATAGTTTCTAAAGAAACTGTTTGGGGCTGCGTCGGTGGGGGTAACGAAATAATTTGGATATATCAACAAAGTTGAAATGGTAAATTGGCCACCGTAAACATTACAAAAGGTGACGTTTCGAGCGTTAGCCCTTCGCTCCGACGAAGGGCTAATGCTCGAAACATTAGCTTTTGTAATCGTTACGGTGGCCAATTTACCATTTCAGCTTTGTTGATATATCCAAATTATTAAAGCTTGACATACATACATACATACATACATGTATGCATGCATGCATGCATGCACGCACATACGCACGAACGCACGTACGTACGTGCGGACGTACGTACATAATACATACATACGTATATTAGTTTATTCTTAGGAACTTATCTTTACTTATTCCTAGTTTTAATTGATTGCTTTTAATTCCTTTGCTTATTTTAAAGTTAAATTTGAAGAACGATACTCCGATCTGGAAAAGAGCATTTACCTTCCAAATCCTAAGGAAAAGCAAGGAAGTGATGTCAACAGCGACAAGGAATTCGTAAGACTTCATCCATGTGCCCAGCTAGGATACAAACAGGTACATTCAAGATTTTTAAGCTTTAGAAACTCTTCACGGTGACCATTTTACGTTATCAACTCAGTTAAACTCACCCCCCGCATTATTCAAGATTTTAACAGTTTTCTTCAATTGACAGAGCAAAGCGACCAAAGTGAACTGTAAGGGTGCATTTCACTGATGAAAATAACTGCGATTTAATTTATTTTCCCTTTTTCTAATTATTACACCTCCAGGGATTTTTTTATTTTGTTTATAATGATGCTTATTAAATAATTCATGTAATTTTTCTCTCATTTGACAACCTTTTATTCGTTTGATTTCAATCGTGATCCAATTCCCATAACACCGCATAGTTTTCTTCTTTGGAATCAGATTACCCATTTTAGTATATATCATAGGTTGAATTGTCGTAGCATTTTGATTTGTTCTTACTAATGAGGAGAACAGACCCATGAATATAAAATAGATTCGATGCTGCCGTGGTTCTGTACAGCTATATATCACACAAGAAGTCAAAATGTGGTTACAGCATCCGTGACGAGCTTGACTGTGCCTCATTTGCCACTTTTTTGCTTTTACATAATTTTAACGTCATCTGTGATCTATTACTGTATAAACCCACGGGAACATCGAATATTTCCTAAGTTCAAAGGGTTCAAACGAACACGCGGCCTTGTAACTTAACTTTAGTTTCAAGTTCGTTCTTGTTTCGTGTTGTTTTAAGAGATGTTTTCGACAAATTTATGAATTGTTGACCCAAACACTACCCTCCTTTTCACTCGAGCCATTTGCCTTGACTTCTCACATGCTCTTTTTATTAAACAAATAGCTTCTAGAGAATGGTTTTCCAGGTGATATGGCACTTACACCAAAAGAATCTTTGCAGTTGTATGACACTATGGTTAGTGTGTGGCGAGACTGTGAATCACTCCAGGTCAGTGGATTAGTCATTTAAAATATTTCAATCTTGCTAATGCCGGGGGAGAAACTATGGATAATGTACGTAAAATTTTTCTTGGCAGAATCTTCGTCCTGAGACATACTTCCTGGAAATGAAATTGATCCGAAAGGGTCATGCTCGACAATACGAGAGTGATCTGAAGAGGGAATTCAAGTCCTGGGCAGACAGCAAACAGTTGACAAAGGTAAAAAAAAAAAATCGATATGCCTTTCTTTGTGCCAGCTCTCAATTAGCTTGTTAGCTCATTTGATAAGGCATTACACTGGTAGCGCAGAAGTCATGGTTAATTTTTTTTCAAGTTTTTTTTTCAATACTGCTTGAGTAACTTTCATAACTGCACTTATCTCTCTCATTTTCATGCATTAAACCGCAGTTTCAAATATATCGTATTCATCTATTGACAGTTGTTATTTCTTCCTTTCGTGACTTGTAACCGTGCTCAACTAAACGAATGGAAATAAAATTCTAATCAACAATGAAAACGAAACACGCACTTTGTAGGATACAGGTTAGAATTGTCTCGCTCTTTTGAATAGGATCAGGAATTTTTTTTTTTTTTAGGTTCAGTCAGTTATTAATTCTTTGAACTCAGTTTTTGTGGAAACTCATTCTTCAACTGAAGAACAATGGAGTAAACTGAGAATGACATCGTTTGGTAAAAGTTTCATAAAGAAAACTTTTGAAAAACTTATTGACCAGCTCAGAGCCCAGGACAAACTGCCTGCCTTGGTGTTTAGGTTAGTGAGGATTATTAAGAGTCAACTTTAAAGTACAACATTAAATCTTAATTAACTAGTAAGTAAGAGAAGGTAAGCACAATACAACGCTATTATCTAATGTGCAATATGAAATACATATATCTTATTCGATGTTTTGTTGTGTATTTTTACGAGTTGTGCCGTGTTTTGACAAAATACAAATAAAGAGTAAAAATACTCAGCGATACTACACAACAAAACTTCTAATAAGTTATTTATTATCCAACACGCCAAATTGTTATTTCAGTGCGGGCTTATTTCGCGGATATTTATTTAGGGAGAGTGGGTGACAGAAGTATACGAAGCGGAACAGATATGGCGCGTTGTCGTGTTGCGCGCTGCTTCTATATTCTTCGATAAATAATGAAATTTCATTGTCGTCTAACTGTTTTTCTTCGTTCAATTTATTCAATAAACTTGGATCAATATTCGCCAGCCATTCCGACTCTTCGTCGTCAGAAAAATGATTTCAGCTGTCCGCCATTTTTTTCTAACTTCAATCCAATTCGTCGCTTGCGCGATGCGAGAAGACCTCTCTAACCGGTTCTCTGGAGTACAAATATCGTGTGTTATTTGTACTCGTCTGAGGCGTTATTTGTACTCTTACGGAGTGTAGTTGGACAATAAACACCTTTACAGGTAATGTAATAAACTGATAAGTTGTTCACATGGCCATTTCATAACTTTTTTAGACAATTAACCAGAGATGTAATCTGTTTTTTTTTTTTTTTAAATTTGGAAAAGCCAGCATGCCCATTCCCTTTGTTGAAAAAGGAGAAAAGCTTTTGCTAGATTTATTAGATTATCAGGATTACGCAAAGAGATGTGTTAAATGAATGACCGAAGCCATAATTTTTCAGCAATTATTTTAACAAGTCCATTAAGGTTGATAGAATTGCAAATCGGTCAGATAGCATCGTAAAATAGGGTATGATCATTCATCGTGGTAAAATATATTGATCATGAGTTATTGTTGTCTGTCCTACGATGTAATCACTTCTGATGAAAATTGTGACTGTATGTTGCATAATATTTCTATAACTATTGGTCTTTATCAGGCGTACAAATTAACTGGATGCACGTCAGCTTTTGAAACATTGAGCATCGCTGTGATTATTTAGCTTTCACCGCCATCTTGTCTTGTTGTGTTATTATGCTTTAGTGGAGCGTCCATTCTATCTTGGTTAAAAATTCATTAATAAGTAAATTTTCCTTCAGATCCAAATGTCCATGTTAAGATCTGTTTTATTCTCCTTTATAGTGATGATCGTAAACTTTGCGAACATTTGGCACTCGGTTATGCTGAGAAACTAGAAAAGAGGGAACAAATTATGCGAAGAAAGGCCAGCACAAGAGAAGCAATGAATGCACAAAAGAGACAAGGAAAAGCTGAAAAAAAGTTGCACAGAAAAAGAGATGAATTACAGAAAGAGAGAGAGAAAAGGTAGTCAGTTCAGTGATTTGGTCTACCTTAATTGACTTATGACAACGAAGCTACAATAGAACCCCAGTGACTTTCCATTTTTCTTTTAGTACATTTACTACGCAGTCTTTCGTTTGGACGGTTTTCTGAACTATTTTTCGAGTTCTGTGGGTTCTTCTGTAGCAGAGCTCAAGTTTTCGTACATTAACTTCTTACCAACCTAGCGTGGGGACCATATGGGGGATCACTGGTCCTAGGCCATAGCAATGTGGACGAGTGCAGCGAGATCCGTATTAAAACAACCCAAAGCCTTGTTGTTCTTGTTTCGTTTTGCTTGTTTTCTGTTGCCTTTACAAGGTATAACTTCTCTCCAAACAGAGTAAACAGCCAACCGGATGACCAAGATGAGAGGGGTTCTATTTCAGCCTCGAACGAAGTTCTGCCAGAGTGCACATTGGCATTCACATTTGGGATTGGAAAAGAGGTAGGAAGCGAATGAATGCTGTTTCAATAACAATAACAGTAGTTTACGACTCTTTCTTCACCCAGAAGATCAGTTTTTGAGTTTACTTCTATAGGTAGTACGCAAAAATTCTGTTTTTTTCCGAACAATGGAACGACTGGACGTTAAGATTATGCAGTATCAGCAGTAGGCAAGAGAAGAGGTCCTCTTGTCGGAGCTGAATGCCATTGAACACATTTTTAAAAAAAAACTATTATCATGTTTCTGATACACTTATAAAAAAAGGTATTATGAAGACAAAACACGAATTGCCTGGTTTAATTCATTTCTAGGATTACGACGAGATAATGAGAAGAATCTGGTTCATACCTGACAAATCGTTATTCAAGCACGCTCTTAAACGAGGAATCAGCTTTCATCATAGTGGATGTAACGCCAAAAAGCGCTCCGTCGTCGAGATGTTGTTTAGATGCAAATATCTGCAGGTTAGATTCCTTTACCGGTATGTAAATGTTATTATTTAGGTGGACTCGCAAAAACTCTTTGGTTTTGAACATTTTGGCGTAAAATGGGATTGCAAAGGAAGATTTAAGCTCCTGGTATCATCCAAAGAATTTGATTAGGCACATTCGTGCGATTGGGCACACAGCTTGAAATACATTACATTACATTTCAGTTTTCATTTACTTACCTTGTCAGGTGGTTAATTCAACATCAACGTTGGCTCTTGGTATTCACATGCCTTGCAAGACAGTCGTGTTTGCTGGAGACTCGCCCTTCTTAAATTCGCTGCAGTACCGACAGGTAATTAAGTAGGGGATATCTAACTTAGCTCATCGTCAATTCTCGCTGAGCAACATTTGTTAGTAAATAATTTCTGGGATTTCGTGCGATTTTCTAAATTATTCATTCGATTTAAATATAAACATTAACGTTAAAAAGCGCCACGTTTCGACCGTTCGACGGTCAATTTTAAGTTTAGAAGCGAAAATTAAAAAAAATTTACTTTTTGACTTGACCGTCGAATGGTCGAACCGTCGTTCCTTTTTATTATTAGTTTTCTAAGTGAAATCCGTTTCTAAAAATTTGCTGATTCGCATTCATTTGATGATTCTCTTTCAATCTTTGGATAGTATAACGCGGAGGTTTCATTAAGAGTTGGTTACCGTTGATCTACCGCTGTCTGTTGAGCCTGCGAGCACGATCTCATGTTTAGCACAGCCGCCTCTTAAACTATCGACAGCTGTTGGTGGGGAAAGTTTTTGAAACCCCTGCATAACGAAGGTCCCTTTACGCATGCGGTGACTACGTTTTATAGCGTATAATGTGCATCTAATGCTCGAAGGAAAATTTTTGACATCCTACACAAGTGTCACTGAGCAATCTTTTCCATAATGGCCGTGATGTGTTTGCCAATTCCATAAGTGTGAACCTAGGGCTTTACTGATAATTTTCAGATGTCTGGAAGGGCGGGTCGGAGAGGTTTTGACCCCGTGGGAAATGTCATTTTCTTTGGAATTCCTTACCGTAAAGTCCAACGCCTCATGACTGCAAACATCCCGAAGCTTGTGGGCAACTTCCCCATTACTGTATCACTGGTACTGCGGCTGCTTCTGATGACGACCCAAGCAGATGACAGGGGAGATGCCCTCACCAAGGTTTTGAAGGACTCTTTTAAATGAATTTTCAATGGCTACTTTTTTTCATCGATCAATAGATATCATAATAAGATAAGATGCCTTCAGGCAGTTAGTGTGCCTCTTGCACTTGACTCAGGCCTGATTAGAAAGCCCATTCATGCCGATATTGCAAAACTACAATATGTAGTGTGTAAATATAAGTTTCTGCTACGTCACTGTTCTGCGCATAAAAATACTTCCAACCTTAATGAATACATATACTTCCTAAGCAACTAAAGACAAGATAATTTACAATTACAACTTTTACAAGTGTTTACAATGTTAATTGTTAGTTTCCATGCTTTAAATTTGTTGAGGTACCCAAACTCCTAACAATCATATGTACTCTTACGTCCCTTTCTCAGGCCCTAGCATTGCTCTCTCATCCTTTTATTTGCCGAAAGTACCCGCGAATGGAAACCCAGATCAAGCTACATTTCCTCTTCAGCGTTGAACTTCTGACTAGACTGGTGAGTGGTGTGACCAACTGTTTTGTATCTCTTCAGGTGGCACATACGCCCTTGAGAACTCTGTGCAATAGAAACCTTTCTGTATACCTAGTCAGTTGTGGTCTCTCACATGGGAAGGAAGAAGACTACGATGGTTTTAGTCAGCTTAGCACAACATAAATTTGATCACATAAAGCGAAAATTTAAAATCTAATAAATAAAATTTCACAGCCAGTCGATAGCCTGTACGAAGAGATTTGTAACCGAACTCTGATACCTCGCTCATTTCCAGTCTCTCGTAAACAGAGAAACCGGAGCTCCACAAGAAATGGCCGGACTGGCGACCCATCTTCATTACCATGAACCTTCCAATTATGTCCTGGTCAGTTTTCTACAATGTGGTCTCTTCCACAAGTTGTGTAAGCCAGGAACAAACGGTGAGCCCATGGCTCCTTTCAAACTGATCGATTGATTAGAATAGACCATTGAAACTTTTTCAGAGCTTTTTGGCAGGATGACACATTTCAAAAGCTCAGAGAAAACGATTACTTAACACAACTGTTATCATCGGCGTGTTTCTCTTTGGTAAACTTTGGATCCTTTCTTCGCGTTTCACTCTACATTAATTTTGTTTTTTTTTCACCATGACCTTTGACAGGTAAATTTTCTGAAAATGTCATGAGGAAAATGGTGCTTGTTCTCAGCCACCTAATTGGAAGGACTTATCTTCATCCCTCTCTCATGCTAAGGACTCCATCTTCTTCAAAAGTAAGCATATCCCTGGAAAACTTATTGTTCTATTCTAAGAATTAGTTTGTTGAGAAGCGCAAACCGACGGGGGGAGGGGGGGATGCTCATCTTTAAAAGGAGTTTAGTATGGATTTTTTCTCCTGCACGCCAAAAGAGATTTTGTAGCGTCTAACTGCTTAGTTTCTTTGGTGTACAAATCATGGAAACGTTCGCATTTCTATGGCGCGTTTTTAGTGTCAAAATTCAAAACCTCGTGTCAGACTTGCTATTTTTCTATTCAAACTTCTTACTTGACAATTCAGATACACTATTTGTCTACTGAAACATCCATTGTTTCAATTCAAAGCAATATTTGTTCGATTCAGTCATGCTGTTTTCCATTCAAACGTGCAATCCTTCGTTTTAGAAATGTTTTTCTACTACCCAAACATTCAGTCGTCTAATTCAAACATGCTATTGTGCATTTCAAATTTTCAATCTCGCAATTCAAAATAGTCATTTCCGCAAGTAAAAATGCTATCCTTCTATTCCAATATGCAAGTCTTTACCGCAAACCTGCTACTCGTCAGCTCAAATACACTATTCGCCAGTTCAAACAGGCTTTTTGTCGACCGAAACACGCAATCCTTCATTTTGAAACAATCGTTCTGCAATTCAAACACTATACTCTTCAATTCAAACCGGCAATTCTTCCACTCCAATGCTTAATCTTTTAGGTCAGACCTGCAGTTCGACTAGATGAGCCAAGCGCTTGAGTGTCTATGTACAAAATTCGCATCCGTTCCGTGTTTTAGGATTTGGGGCCATTTTCCGCCGCTCCATGTTTTAGGAGTTGGGATCATTTTCCGCCAATCTACCGTTCCACCGTTCCACCGTTCTACCGTTCCTGCTATAAGGATAATAAGGGTCTTGTTCTTTTCTCCTCGCCTTTCTTCCCAATACGCATGCGTGGCCGGGCTAGTTTCCAGGTGACGACGAAGGACAGCGTGTTTGCGTTGAAGGTTTGAATGTTTGAATTGAAGGATTGCGTATTAGAAATGACGAGTATCATGTTCGCATTGAATAATTGAATGTTTGGAAAAGGAATTCGAATATTTGAAATGATGAATAAGGTTACCAAAATAAACAACTGGATGTCTCCATAGTCGAACAGCAGATCTGACCTAAAAGATTAAGGATTGGAATGGAAGAATTGCCGGTTTGAATTGAAGAGTATAGTGTTTGAATTGCAGAACGATTGTTTCAAAATGAAGGATTGCGTGTTTCGGTCGACAAAAAGCCTGTTTGAACTGGCGAATAGTGTATTTGAGCTGACGAGTAGCAGGTTTGCGGTAAAGACTTGCATATTGGAATAGAAGGATAGCATTTTTACTTGCGGAAATGACTATTTTGAATTGCGAGATTGAAAATTTGAAATGCACAATAGCATGTTTGAATTAGACGACTGAATGTTTGGGTAGTAGAAAAACATTTCTAAAACGAAGGATTGCACGTTTGAATGGAAAAACAGCATGACTGAATCGAACAAATATTGCTTTGAATTGAAACAATGGATGTTTCAGTAAACAAATAGGGTATCTGAATTGTCAAGCAAGAAGTTTGAATAGAAAAATAGCAAGTCTGACACGAGGTTTTGAATTTTGACACTAAAAACGCGCCATACATTTCGGACTGAATGCAGGTATTTTTGGAGGATCTCCCGAGCGAATTTGCCAAGGCAGTCAAAAGCTACAACCGTCAGGTCACAGATGTGTTTAGTCAGTACCTTGCCACAGTGGCTAAGTGGCTGGAAAAGGACAGAGGAGAGGATAACAAACTCCCCTTATCAGGAATAGGTAAGAATTGTTTAACAAGTATTCTTATTTGCATAATTTTAATACTTTTTGATAAATTGAAATAAATATTCAAAGAAAATGTCACTTTGATAAAAAGATTTCAAGTTTTTGTACGTCTGTTCAACAGCAGCGGATCGAGTGTATCACTGATGTCCTGAGACTTAGAATCTGTAATGTTTCTTTTATATGAAAAAAAAAAAAAAGCAAAGGATTATGACATCAGTGCGTTAATCTTCCTTAGATCAAAAGTAAGAACTATTTAAAAATGTCTGTATTCAGATTATTTTTATTTGAGTAAAAAAAAAAAAAAAGAAACATGCGTTGATTGCTGAATATAATTGAACTATTTCTGTCGCAGAATTTCCAAAGAAAGCTAGCATTGATGAAATTGACGAGCAGGATATGGTCAAAGTCCTTGCGAACTCTTCTATACAGTATTCGGCTTGTTCCTCCTTTGCTGCGCTATCAGGAAACACAGACTTCCAGTTACATCCTTTAAGCCGCCAAAAAACAGATGGCCAAAGAGAGGATGAGGCTAACAGTGACGAGGAAGAAGGGGAGGAAGAGCCGCTTAAATATCTGCTCAAGGTGAAAATTGGTTTTTTCGTTTGGTTATACATGGTTGCCACGTTCGCCACTGATATTTTTCCCTCGCGAAACTCTTCCTAAGCAGACTGTAATTAGGAAAATTTTCTCCTCAACTCCCTTTACACCAGCAAAACGTGTTTTACCCAGTTTAACTGAATGAAAATCAGAAACAGAGAATTGAAAAACTGAATTTTCGTTTGTAAGGTTTCATGTAGTCACTAAGTTGTATTTTCCATGTGCCAAATTTTAAGTAGAAAACAATTTTTTTTTTGTTTAGATCATTCGTCAAGATGTCTACACGGACATGAATCTCGTTCCCATTCTTCCAGTTAGGAATGCCCAACCTCTGAATGCTTATGCTTTGGATTTTTTCAAGCATGGATCTTCCAAAGTCATTGAGAATGAAAACGGGTAAGAAAGTAAAACAGCTTTGTTACCCTCTGTGCCAGGAAAATTTTCATCACGTGCTGTAAATAAGCATCAGCCTTTCTTTACTCAAACCGTTCTTTATGTTTTATTAAATCTCATTCTTAAATCGCGAAATTGTTAGAGTACAGAAAAGCCATCACCTTTGTTTCAGGTATTCTCCTCCTAATGGCTAGTTATTTCACTTTCAGAACTCTTTCAATCTTGTAAAACTTTCGTTTTGATTTTGACTATCTGCATCGATTTCACAGAATGCAAGCTGGCGATGTTTACAATGCCCTCAAGGAGATTAACCTAACTATTAAGTCAATCAGGTAATTCCTGTTTCCTGAGAATAGGCCGGGTTCAAGGAGGTGATAGTATAGTAATGGAACACTCCCAAGAGTATCAAACAAATGTGCTTTTTTATTAAGTTTTGCGCATCAAAGTTTGTAGTTTTGTCTATTCCATCTAAGTACATGGCTTTAATACAAAGCTTTGCTGACATTGCCATGGTAACCATCAAAGCATTAGTTTTTTTTTTTTTTTAAGGTAGGAATTACGCTTTTCTGATATTTTTTTCTCCGCATATATGATTTAAAACTTCAACACGCACCAAAAAATGTTAACTCGCTATTTGAAAGAAAGTGCAGCTTTTTTATCGTTGGTAATGTGCACAATTCATGAATAACACTTCACTTTCATCGTCGATCGATCAAGTTACCGGGAAAATAACTTGTTTATGATTTTCTCTTTTTACAGTTGTTCACTGGAACAGCTGGGTCCTGAAACTGACAACGTGGTGTTGGCTTTTAAGCAGCTGGCTCAGGAGTACGGAGAGAAGTTCAGAGAGGAGTTTGAATATGAGGCATAGAAGTTTACATTTTGTTATGGACTCACGGGGCCACAACAAACCACTGTTGCAGATATTGTTGTTGATCAGAGTGCATACCATGTTAAACCACTGTCGATTTGTTTGTTTGTTTGTTTTTTTTTATTACAATATCGACGTCAATTTAAACGAATTTTTCAGTGCGTGACCATTGCTTAACACGTTGACGCGAGTAGCGTTCAGTCAGTCTTATCGACAACGGGAAATTGGACAATCAGATTGCATCATTACTGCCGATTGTGGTAAAAAAAAAAAGTTTATGTCAAGAAGTAGTATGATGAACCTGTTCGTGTCAGATAAGCCGTTTTGCAAGGTGCTCTCTGACAATTTCATTAAAGAGGTTCAATCAAAGTCTGTCTTACTACATCTTTTATCATCGATAAGGCGAGATTTTTGGGATGCGCTCGTTGCACACGTAACGTGTAACAAACACGATTTCTATCCCACCAACATCGAGCGCTACTTTCTATTCCCTATTCCGTTGTTTTAAGGTTAATTTGGTAACCCTGCTCAACTTTTTCGGGCTGAAAGCCTGACTGGTTCAATGCTTGTCAGAAAATATCACGTAATATAATTAGTAATGGTGATAGAACTGTGTGAATCATACGAGTGATGAACATGTACTTAGATGAAATTGGGCGACCGCGCAGCGGGAGTGCGATTTTTTAATTGAGACTATAATTACAGACAGCAATGGACAACACGTGGTTCTGTTACTAAATATAACCATTGCAAATTTGGGGAAAAAAAAACAATAACATTGGGAAACATCTCTCCGATAGGGACCAATAAAAACTAATAAACTTTCTTGCCAAAATTGGTCACAAACCAACCACTAAAACGTGTGTGACTGTTTATGTCTAGCTTGACAAAATCACTAATATCCTTTATCATTTATTTCAAATTCAATACCTGTGTTTGTCTTCTGTCATCAGTCATGTATTAGAGTATTTCGGTTACAAAGCCCTTTGTTGATAGACTCTCTCTTTGAAAATAAATATTTTAAAATGTTTTCATACCTGTAATTGCAGTTGAAATGAACAAAAACAAAAAGGAAAGAAATCGGATGAATAGTAATGTCCGGGTAAATTGCGTACCCATCCCTCCCCTAGTCACTAACCCCTGCAGGGTTAGAGGTGGGTTAGGTGCGCAGTTGCTTCGATACTGAATTTGTATTCATGACCGACGTTTCAAACTTAGTTTGTATACCTTTATACCTCCACAATTGAAAGAGCGTAAATTCTTTCCTTTCAAAGAGTCAAAGGGTCAAATCTGTTATGTTAGCGCTCTAAACCTCTGCTTTTAATTGTTAGTGATTGACAACCAACTTATCATTTCGTGAAGCAATTAGCTTGCTTGCATCCTTGCTTGCACTCTGTCTTGTGCAAAATTTAAACTTAAGAAAGTCTTGCCTACCTAAGAAAACGCTTTTTTAGTACCGTCGAACGTCTAAGTGATGACAATGCGCAAGAAATAAAATGCGTTGTAAGCAAAATCTGTCAATGAAATACTTTATTCTAATAATTTGCAACCAGAGATATAAACGATAAACAAACAAAGGTATAATACCTTAACATAAATGTCACGGAAATGTGTTCATTTGGCATATTCCGTTTTGTCTTGAGACTTCAAATTCAATAGCAAAGTACATCTCACAACTGTTCTCGTCAGTGAGCGCTTTTTATACCAGCTGCCCTTTAAGACTATTATAAATGTGAACGATGCTTGCTTCAGAAAAACTAAACGTCATCTCGAGGGAGACTATGTTTACGCTAGCATACCCATGAAAAGTAAGAAGCAAAATATGCACGGTGTTCACGAGTGTCAGTGTTAAAATAATGTCACATGTTTTCAGGTTGTAGAACAAGCTACAGATTTACAGATGTACAAGCATAAATTGGGCCGAGTTTTCTAAGACAGTAATGGTATAGTTTCTGCCATGCCCGTCTCGCCACCGTCGTTACTTTCGTTCGGTTCTGGTCTGATGACTTTTCTCCACGGAGGGTAGAATATGAGAGTGCAGGAAGATGACATAACGCTTATCATCTGAATATACGAGACCCAGTTATCCGACAAGACAGCTATAGGGATGACGTGGAAAACTATTAGAAATGTAACAACAGTTACAAGTAGTGGAACAATTAGTGTCGCATACTGTATTCGTTTCAGAGACATTTCTGTTTTTGCCTTAAGAATTATACTCGTAACCACATTTATGGCGAACAAGTTGAGCTTAAATGTTCCATAGGTGGTACCTATGGCTACTGCAGGATTAAAGACAAGTTTGTAGCAGACTACCTGGAGAGATCCATTCTGGACTGCAGCACTACTGCAGTTCACGGGAAGCGACTCATCGTGTTCGTGTTTCGGGTTCAGTTCGAAGCATTCCTTACTGTAGTCTTCATTACAGCTGTAACTCAGGTCGAGCAGAAGAAGCTGCCAAAACAGGGTCGACACGTTAATGGCAAATGTAAAAAGCAACACGAAAAATGCGTGTAAAAGCTTTGACAAGGTTTCTCTATCGGCCACCAAATCGATTCCTTTAAACAGAAACGTTGTCTCTCTGGAACCATCGGTCTTCTGCTCCTCCTTGAAAATCTCTCTGAATACGTAACTAAGAGCGAAGCGCTGGAGACGTTCCCTACGGTCCCTATTTAAGACTAGCGATACTATGACAAGGGCAATAAACAGAGGGACTGCAATGCCAAAGATAGGTGGCAATATGAGAATCATTTGGTAATCGTTCAGCTTCATCACGACGAAATGCCTTAAGGAAAATCAAACGGAGTCGTTTTGAAACAATTATGCAAGCCTCGTTTCGATTTAACCACTTCAAATCCCACGGGGAGGATGTAGACAGGGCAGAAAAGGTTGTAACGAAATTTTACGAAAAGGTGTAGGAATGCAAAATAAAACTTTGATAAATCTTACCCAGGACAAACAATCAGAGGAAAATGGTGATCGATCCAGGGCGAAAGAAAATCTCTTTCATCAATGTTAATAGGGATCTTAAGCAAACCACTACTGTGAAGGCAACGATGACGTAGAAAAACAAAAGATCTAATAGGCAGAACAATAGCTCAGCACGTGCAAAGCAACAACGTGAAATCCCCAAAATTTGTGTCGTCTGCGAACCGAAACCGCGACGGCAACTTATTTTAATTTCCATTTGGAACTCAACGCTACTTACGTTATTGGTTATATCAACTAAGTTGAAATAGTTAATCGGCCACCGTAACGAATAAAAAAGCTGACGTTTCGAGCGTTAGCCCTTCGTCAGAGCGAAGGGTAATGCGCTCCTGTTACAGTAGATTGTGCAGATTCCAGTAAGAAATGGGCGGCACGTTTCAAAGTTTATTGCATGCAGTAACCGATATTTTCATTACAGTATGCAATAGCACACAAATGCAATAGTTCACTGTCGGACTGACCACTTACCTCGTTTTCAATACGAGGGGGTACCTAGAATCTGTGAGTCTTCTCCGTCACTTCGTCACAAACTTAGTCGTAGGCATTTTAAACTGTCATTTTGCAGCTCAAGATATCATCGCGAATTTGAACGTGTATGGTCTTCTTTCCGCATTGCCACCTCTTCCCGCTACTTAATTCCTTTCATGTTCCTTTCCTTGATTATGAAATGCTACAGAATCCAACTGGATCGTATCAGTCACTGGGTCGCCAAAAAGGGCATTTTCGGACTTTTTTTTTGTAAGATAAAGAAGAAGAAAATGTTTTGTCCTAAAGGAACGACGTGGGCATTGAAAGAAAATGATCTGACAGAAGAGGAGGACATCCTATCCATTGTCCTGGTCAGGTTTTTGGGGTTGTTTGTTTTGATGTTCGGCGGAGTGTTTATTATGTTTTGGCAGCTTCTTCTGCTGGATGTCTGAGCGACTGCGGTGAGGACCACCTCGCCAAAGACTGCTCCGAACGCAAGGTGGCCTAGGCATGAATTCGGATTTGAAGCCATAAGAGCCCATCAGCTGCAGCATTGCTGGCGCTACTGTTCGAAATGCAACCGTTCACGCAATTTGCTACAAGATCGTTTTCAACTCTGGTGTTACCAAAGGTGCAAGCTATGGAGCATTCAAACTTTCTTTGTTGGATGTTAATTTGGGTACAATTGGACTGTTGATGATTGAAAATCCAAAAATCCTAAATACGATAGAAATTATTGTCGGATTTCTGTTTGTTGCTGGGGCTATATCGGAGATAGCTGTTAGAGCCATCATTCCCTCAGTTGCTTTCTTTTTGTCGAATAACATGACTACTTTCCTCCAGATAGTAGTAGTAGTAGTAGGCATTGCATGCGGCTTTGTATGCTTTATTCCTTGAAAAAAACCTCCTCGCGCTGAAAACCGCTAGGGTGACGCGTAATTCACAAGCTTAGAAGATCTTGCTGCAAACACAGACGTCAGCTAGAAGCCTGAATCTGTGAAAACGAGTTGGATCAGTACGTGATAGTTGTCGAAACAGTGTTTTCTAAAAATTGACTGAAATTTGCCTATCATTGTAAGATTACTGCTACGTAACATAATTGTTGTAGTGTTAATAAGTGACTCGAAGGTTCACTTTGCTTTGGTCTCTTGCCCGGAAGCTAGTGTACTTTTATTACATCGGTAATAAATAGATTACATCTATACTAAGGTATCATTACGTACACTTATCTCGATAATGCATATTTTGAACACAGCCGTCCACTCTCGAGCAAGTATGTTGTTGCAATGCAATGTTTCTTCAGTACTTAGTCAGCATGAATTGTACGACATTGTTTTCCATGTTCATAGACGAAACCTACCAAACGTATATTGCAAAATACATCTTCAAGTAGGACATTATGCACTGGATGTTAGTCATACGCACTTATATAATGTACAAGTCGTATCGAATAAAACTCACCACTTCAGTTTGAGTTTTGTTTCAACAGCTAAGAAGTACCTTTGAGGTGAAACTCCGGCAGAAATCCCGGCGCCAACATCAACCACAACTATTAAAGCAATGAGAAAAGTGAGACTACATTTAACTTGTTCTCTTGGCGCGAACGCATTTTTAAACTAAAAGAGGGTGTCAAAGATGATCTAACAAAGAAGAACCCTTGAACTTTGGAGGTTCGAACTATAACTTACCCCAAAAATGAAATTCAAATCTCTTCAGGATTCATCACTATCCATAACCAGTCTCCTTTGGAACCTTTTAGACACGGTCGCAGAGGACTGGAATAAGCTGGAGACGAAATACCAGAAATCTGGTTTCAGGCAGGATCAAAACATGGCGGACAGTGGGGTGAAGAGTGATCTTTTGTCTGAAATACAGAATGCGTTTCTCAGCGAAAAACGAAATCTTGTAGTTCAAAACTTTGGAACTCAATATGATCTACTCGAAGTCTGTCTTGAGAGAAGTGTGGTCGAAAAAGTCAACCATGTCTACAAACACAAGGTTAGAGAACCAGACGAACGCTCTCGTGAATGTACGGTTTGTACATATCAAAGTTCGCGATGATTTGAGTATTGTGGCATAATTATTGCGCTAAGCTTGAACCAGTCGTAGGTTTACACTCTAGAGCTGCAAATCTTCTGTTTGAAAATATGAAAAGAATTGTTGATTTCGATTTTTTTTTGTTTTCTCTGCTTCGAGCAGTGTAGTTTTGTCATGTGATTAGTAATCGTGTGACGTTGCCGGCTCGAGGGATTATTTCCCCACTTTCATGCCTGTTAGTACTGTTTAAGTAATGTGAGAGGAAGCATCAAAACCCCAGTTAATTGAATGTGATCTATTAAGGGTGATCAGCAAACATTGCATGATTAATTTCCTTATTACAATCACACAATGTATATGAGTCAGTCAATTTTAATATATAGGGTAAACGAAGTACGTTCAGCAAACTGTGAAAAATCGAATTTTTTCCCATACTCTTTTTTTAAAGATAAGGAGTTATGTTGTATACGCAACCCAGCATTTATTTGGACTTTTGTCTGAACTCATAGTTATTGTATTTACTAGCGATAGGTACCAGTTTTGAAGAGAGTTTCTCAAAAAAACGCAAAGAGATATTTTTAAGACCTAGACATTTGGCTCCTGCTGCAGTTCTTTGAGATTGGAACATCATGCAACATGTCATAAAAATCCAAACCCTTTCACTTGCAAGATGTCGTTAATTATTCTCTTTATTGCTTGCCATACAATTATTATGGAGTTAATTTAGAGAATTTTGTATTGGATCAACTAATAATCCCTCAATTGATATTTTTCTCTCTTTTCTCATTAGTTCTCTACTTGGTGTGTTACTGATATCGTAAGGAGAAATTCTGTTTTGGTCACTAATGAGAGTTACAGGATTCAGTGTTTAATTTTATGTTTGATGTATTGAAATTTGATCGAGTCAGTGTGTTTTAGATGTTAAAGAATTACTGTAAGACACATTTTATTTATTTTTCAGGTGAATGAAGTTAAACCAGTAACAAACCAAAGGGCATCCGGACGATGCTGGATATTTGCATTTTTGAATGCAATTCGCCAAAAATTTGTGCAACACTTTAACTTGGAAGACTTTGAATTTAGCCAACAGTTTCTCTACTTCTGGGACAGAATTGAAAGGTCGTATTTTTTCATAAATACCTATGAAGAACTTGCTCGGAAAGGGGAAGAACCAGATGGACGTTTGATGATGTTTCTTCTGTCCAACCCTTTAAATGATGGTGGCCAGTGGGACATGCTTATCAACCTGGTAGAAAAATATGGCCTGGTGCCGAAGGCTGTGTGGCCTGAAACATTTACCTCTAATAGGTCCATGCGTTTGAGGCGGATAATGAATCACAAGGTATGATATGAAAATCAGCATACTGAGGAAAGATCTCAAATTTTGATATCATGACCCCCTTTCCTATGAGTTCAACATAATAATAATAATAATATGTCAGAGATAAAAACTAATTCAAGTGAGGCAGGGTTTAGGACATTCTACTTGGTTTTCAGATACAGAAAAATCCTGACAGGTCTTTTTGTACTTGCTTTGCTTGAATTTAATTTGAAACTGAATTTGTCCACTGCCGTGGACTGATCTTGGCCACTCAGGCTACTTGCAACTGTCTTGTAATAACAGACCATCTGATAGGGTGCTGAAAAAATGGAAACTTATGCGGAAATTTTCGGCAATATTATGCGAAAGTAAGTGACGATTATGCAGAAAAGGTGCCAAATTATGCAGAAATTTCTAAAACTTAATAAAGTTGTTCCCTTGGCTTTTTCCAATGTATAAAATACACGTTAATGTCTTACTGAGAATTTTAGTCCTTTTATGACATGTTTGACCTTTAGCTTCCATTCGTGGACAGGTATGTCTTTGTTCAAAGCAGTTTTTTCATAGTTTTCGTTGTTGAGTTTGTCCGAAGCTTAGTAACCAGCCATTAAATTGGATGAGGAAAACTGAACACCAGAAATCAGTATTAAAACAAAAGTAGAACCCAGGCCCATCACCAGAGGATGCATGGAATGTCTGGTGGTTTAAAACTGTTTACAAACAAAAGGCGTATTTTCGTGGCTGTTTTGGTTCAATAACTTCTTCAAAATGATCAATCTTTTGGCTATTTTTACTTCTGAGGATGGTAAGCAGTTGCTTTCTTGCTTATATGTAGATATTTTCTAGTTTTATGTAGAGAAATGTCCCAAGGATGCGGAGGATGCAGAAGTAGGCAAATAATTTATGCAGATCCGCACCACTGCATCCTGTCAGATACCCTGTAATAACAGCTTAAAATGCAGAGAAATCACAGAGGAATTGAGAAAAAGTAGGAGTTGTTGCAGTACAGATACATGTATTTAGGCATCAAACTCTGCAAAAGTTATTGACTGTGAAAAGTTCATTTAGGGCCAAAAGGTAATTATTTTGACCAGATGAACCCATGACATGTTATCAAGTAGGTAGCATAACTCTGGCAATTGCTGCCTTGTTTTGAAATCCCATGATACAGTCTTATCTTCCTACTTTGCTTGCAATAAAATGCATCTTTGCAGCTGCGGGAATATGCTGTACAGCTTAAAGAACTGGTGGACAAGAAATGCAGTGAAGAGGAAATGAAAGAAGCCAAGAAGAAAATGATGACAGAGGTGAAAATTAGGTCATCGCTGTTTTGTCCTAGGTTATAATTCTGAGCTGCCTCTGATCATATTCTTTCCAGGTTGATGTTGATAACAAAGATGCATTGATTACTGACATAACCAAGGACAGAGCATCTAACGGAACCACTTATTTTGTTTCTTCCCCATTTTCACAATGTTAGGTGTACCGTATAACAAGCATATGCCTTGGCACTCCACCCAAGACTTTTGAGTGGGAATATACAGACAAAAGTAAAAAGTATTTCCAGCTGTCAGGATTATCTCCACTTCAATTTTACAATGAGCATGTCAAACCAGTCTACAACCCTCTTGACAAGGTATAAATGCATGTACATGTATTTGGACAAAGCTCTCTCTATTGGTTCAGTGATATGCAGTACTCAGTCAGTTTAAATGAGTTGTTTTCATATGTGGTAGAACTTATGGGTATATATTGAAAGGTTAACCTAAGCTTGTTATTTATATAATTTTCAGTGATCTCCACCATAGTTTACCATCAAGTCACTGCCACCAACAACAGTCCTTCTCAGGACTACACTCACCCGGACGATCAGACTACACCTTCACATGTTACCCCCGGGTTCAAACCATTTACTGCTTTACCATCTTTGTTCCATATAATTTGAAGATAGATAAATATTTATTACTCGTTTTGTTTTCTTCTTCAATAAACTAATGTCTTGTATGATTATAATTTTAGAAAGATTACCTTCTATTGGAGATTATTCCTTTGACCCTAACAGCTCAGTGAACTGAAAGAGAACCTTTCACTCTGACAAAGGGCTAATGCACAATACATCGGCTTTGAAATTCTTTACAGTGGCCAATTTGCATCTTGAACTCAGTTAATAAAACCATAATTACATTGAAAAAGAACCAGCTGAGAGGTTGTCACAATTTAAAAATAACCAACATGGAAAATTTGGTCAACAGTTTGTCATAATGAACAACAATAACAAAGCTAATCGTGGTAGGGCAAGACAAGTGCAAGAATAACATAAATCGTCCAGTATTTAAGGAAAAAGAGTCATTATTTTCACAAAAAATAAGAAGTCATTTAAACTTAGAAGGTGTATCTATGTAACTACTATTTTAATGATCAAGGGGATTTGATTATAGTTTTCTTCTTTTTCTAAGATATATCAAATAGCACAGAATGTGTTACATGTAGGAGAAGTTCAGAGATCTTGCCAATATTATAGGCTTACCATTGGGTAATTTTATCTTGGTCACATGTCTCAGGTGTGCCTAGTGAATGATCCTCGCAATCCTTACAACAAACTGCTGACAGTAGAGTACCTCAGTAACATGGTGAATGGACTGTGCGTCCTTTACAACAATCAACCTGTGGAGGTTCTCAAGAAGTTGACAGCTGCATCTCTCAAGGACGATGAGGTAAATGATGTGAAATATTTCTCTTCTCTCAATCTGTGAGAGGCAAGGAGCTGCTTCCGGTTGGTTGTATTGGAGTATTTACAGGACCTTTTAAGATGTGGCTCCTTATTTTTTATTTTTTGTGTCCCCCTTATAATGTCAGCTAGTTGGCTAGCACATAATTTTGCAAGGAGTGTGCCATTGACTACCCTGCGAGCAGAGGCCCTTTGATCTTCCCTAGATTAGTCGGGAAGAGAAAGGGAAGAAGCTCCTAAATTCTCTTCCCGACTAGTCTAGGAAGATCAAAGGGCCTCTGCTCACAGGGTAGCCATTGACCAATCCAAAACATGTTTCACCCACTCTTGTCGGCAGTCAGAATTCAGCATTCACTTCACCTGCCACCTTTTAAATGCCAGTTATGAATTTATAAATGTAAATATTGCCTTGATGTATAAAACGTGCTGTTTAGTTCCTTGCCACAAGAAGATGTTTGGATGATTTGGAGCCAGAGGGAACAACTTGCATGGTTGCAAAAAAAGTCTGATTAAAAAGTAAGGCTCCATGGCAAAATATTCCTCAGGCTGTGAGCAGTCACCAGTTGACTGCAAAAGCATGATTTAAAGAAATACAGGGGCTTTGTTTCTTGAGTAGTTGTCATACATTAAGAACAACATGACTGGTATTAAAATATTCTGGTCAATGGTGTCAATTTTCGGTCGATTTGGGAACCAGCCAGTTGTTTTTATTGAATTACCAGTTTTATACTCTTTTATTCTGATCTTTTAAACACTGTATATGTATGGGTTTAGTTAAAGATAGTTTGTAGAGCATTCACAAACACAACTTTCAAATAAATCTATTTTCCTTTCCTCAGGCAGTTTGGTTTGGATGTGATGTTGACAAACACTTTGAAAGAAAGATTGGAGCACTTGATATGGAAATGTGAGTTTATAGCAGTGACTTTCTTCTCGTATAAAATTTGTTTGTGTTGTGTGAGAAAATAAGAACAATGTGCTTAATTTAAAAGACAGATAAAGAAACAAAGAATGCCAGTGAGATGATTGATGTGCTTAATTTGAAAGACAGATAAAGAAACAAAGAATCAGTCAGACAATTGGGTTTTTTTTTCATATGTTGCTACAAGGTTTCTGTCATGATAAATAAATTTTCCTGTTTTTTTATCTTTATTTTGTTTGTTTTGTTGTATTTTTTCAGTCATAACTATGATTGGGCATTTGGCATTTCCATGAAATATTTAAACAAAGCACAGCGTTTGCTGTATGGTGGATCGCTCATGACCCATGCTATGGTGTTCACTGGATTTTCCTGGAAGGTAAGAATAACATGTTCTAGTCGCACGGTTAAGAAAACGAAGCGCTATAGTAAACAGCGTAACAGTATTGGCGGAGCGAAAAAAAGCCAGAGGGCTGGATTGGGTCAGGTCACGGGACATTTGTTACTTGGCTAGACCCAAACCTCTCTCGTCTTTTCGCTCCGCCGCTCCTTTCGCGTTCTGTTTTACGAACTAAACAACCGGGCTATGCAAAGATGAGAAGCGAAACGAGGATCCAGTGATCTATTTGACAATTACTTCACGAGCGCGCGTTGGATATGAGATGATATATATCCAAAGAGGCGCGTAGCGCCTCGTTGGCTATCTATCATCTAATATCCAACGCGCGCTCGTGGAATAATTGTTAAATATACTGTTGTTGAAGCTTCTGTTTGCCTTGTGTTGAAAAAGTATGATAATTGAAGAAAGAAGGATGGCGCATAAATGCGACTATGGTATATTTTACTTCTTTAAAGCAGCATGGTGTACTTTAAAATACGTGGTAAGACGGGAATGATAAGGATAAAAAGTCAGGGAAAAAGGCTGCGTGGGAAAACACTTGGTGTCACTTAAACTAAAAATTCTGAAATGTATGAAATAAGAGGATAGGATCCTGGGACGAGTATAACCTTCATTTACCATTTGGCCTTTCCTTTGATTTTCAGGAAAACTCGAAAACCAGCGACACGGAAGATCATTCAAAACCGGTCGAGGAAGGTGGCACAGCGGACATAGAAACCATAAAATGGCGTGTGGAGAATTCCTGGGGTGATGAGAAGGACAAACCAGGTTATCTTATGATGACTGACACCTGGTACTCAGAATATGTCTATGAAGTTGTTATAGACAAGAAATATGTCCCTGCTGATGTGTTGGGTGTCCTGGAACAGCAGCCAATAGTGCTGCCTGCTTGGGATCCGATGGGGTCCCTGGCATGTGTTTTGTGTGACAATGGGGAACATATATCTCATTTGTAATGATTAGCGTGCTTGCTATTTATCGATTACTTTGTAATGCACGTTTTCACGATATCTAGCAACTATATATCTCACTTGTAACAATTTGGATAATAATGATAATAATCATCTTTATTGGGGAAACTTTTTCATAACAAATATGGTTTTCAAAAAGGACCTCGAAACTAGATATATATAGTAGAAACAAAAAAGCAATAACATTGCAAAGGGATTAAAAAGATACAAAAAAATGCATAAAAAATTAAAAATAAGTATAAATAAAAATGAAACGCAAGTAGCTATATTAAAAACTTAAAAACATTACGTTTAAAACTATTGACATTCTTTGAGTCTTTGATCGTCTGACTGAGGGAGTTAAAATCGGAAACGGCATAATATTGTGTTCTTTGCTTCCCCCAATTTCTTTTGACACGTGGTAATCTAAAATTGCCTTTGTCACGTGTATTATGCCCATGAAGTATGTGTTGTCTAATCAAGTCCATATTGATTAATTAGGCCATTGATGCATTTGTATACGTGTACACACCTTCTTTGAAATCGCCTTTTCTCTAGAGGCAGCCACTTAGAACGGCTAATGCCTCAGTGTAGGATGAGTACAATGGTCTATTTTAAATAACTTTAGCGGCCTTATTTTGCAAAACTTGCATACTAGACAAAGGGTAATATGTTTATCGCCCCATACTAGATCAGTATATTCAAAAAGGGGCATAACAAGACCTTTATAGAAAAGTAAACGCGCCCTGAAAGGCAATAAATGCTTTATACGCTTGAGAAGTCAAAGCCTTTGATTGATTTCCCCAATAATTTACTATTATTTTAATTGATGAGGTTGTAATGCACATTCTTGAAATATTTAGCTAACATTGGATGGGTGTTTTGTACAATTCTTTTCCCAAACGTTCCAGCAGACGATTACATGTACCGTATTTCCTCGAACAAGTGCCCACGTTCTAATAGGCGCCCTTCTCCGAAAAAGCACCCACCCTCTCGGCCATAATATCAAACAAGCGCCCGTCTCAAATAAGCGCCGCACCCCCCCCTCCCCTCCTCACCCCCTTCTCTCTCACTTTCTTGAATAGTAGGGTTACTTTACTTTACTTTAATCATTTTCTCAACAAACTTAACACATAGAAAGCTGAGGGGAAGGCCAAGAAACAGGAACAGGTTCCCTTACAAAAGGCCACCCAAAAAAGAATAACACTACACAAACCTAATAATAAGTTAGGTTAATTCAGCGTCTAATTGGTATAAATAAGCCTTGCAAAGACTTAAAATCAGAAAGAGACTCAGACTTTCTGGCATGCATAGGTAAACAGGCTTCAACTGTTCTAAGGAAAAAGGAATATTTTAGCATGTTTGTCCTCGCATATTGAGTTATAAATGACAGATCAGCATTTCAAGGGAACCCCGTTTATATCGCCACTTCATTCACAACGTATTAAGCTACAACTTCAGCGGAATCAGCACAGGAGGATAAAAAGCGCACCCCTCATTTTAGCGCCTTCCTTTCATTAAAGCGCCCCTCCTTTTTAGCCGAAATTTTAAATAACCGGGAGTTTATTCGAGGAAATACGATACTTCCCAACTAAGATTCATAGACACGTATATGCCAGCTTACTGGAGGCGCAGCAAACGCTGATTAATTTCCTTACGTATATTGTTTTGCTGCTAAGCATTCCATTTATAAATTGATAGTTTCAAATTTGACAGCCTGAGGACAGTGCGTTTTTCAGAAATGGTTTTCTCCTAATATGATCTGTTTGTTTCCAGAGTGAAAGTCAGGTGGTTGTTGATTCAAAGAAAAACAGTTTTTACTTTCTAATTATGTGCTTACGGAAAATGTAAACAGTGACGCGATGTATGATTTTCCATTTGTTCGTTATGTATAACTCAGTTTTAAAAAGTGAGCAAAACGATAGAAGGAATGAAAATAAAAGCAAACGAACAGAGCTCCCTACATTTCCAAAAAGTCGCCAATCTTCAAACATCTGCTGCTTTTGAAAAGTACAAACAAATGGCGAAGGGCATCTACTCAATTAGAGCATGCGCTGTTTTCAATGGTGTCGAGGAACCGCAAGGGAGGAAAACACAACGAAAGCTAGAATAAAGGTTGAGAGCATCATCAGCTAAGAAGAACTCAAAGTAAAAACAGGCAAACTGCATGAACTCGCGACTGGTTTTAGTTTTGTGTCTGATTTGCTGAAAGCGCGTGGTGCCAATTTTCTAGCCCAATAACAGAGCGATGTACATTAGGTAAGGATTTAGATCCCAGGGACAGTAGGTGCGATTTGGGGGTCAATGCGTTTTCTTTACCAACTTTTGTGCCACTGCAACAAGATAGGAGACACTAGTTTATAGCTTGTATAGCTGTTTAATTTGTAATTGAGACTACATAATTCTAAACAACTGTATCTGGGCATAGAAAGGCTATGCATTAAATCTTCTGTTTATGTATTAGTGGAGCTTGCTTGTTAATCAAGGACAGCGTGCAATTCTGGCTCCTGTGTCCACCTTGTCCCTTTTACCCTGTCGCAATATCATATCAAAAGGTCAGTGGTTATAGCCATGGCTTTATTTTGCCTAAAATTAAACAAATACTGAGTTATTTTTATGAGTGACTGCTAATAGTGATGATGATGATAAACTAAATCAGAGTATACGACCATGGTAAAATTCCTGTTCCACTCAATTCCGATTGCTGCGACTCAATATTTACAAAAATGGAGTTTAAGTGAACTCAGCATTAACAAAAAAAGCTCAATCTTTCGTTGAATTTCCACTTATTATCTTTAAGGTATGAACAAAAACACACTCGATTCCAGAACGTTTAATTTACAGCACTTACCTAACCGAAAAAGTGTTGATATCCGCCAACTTTCATGAACTTCAATTCAGGATACAAATCAGTAAAGAGTGAACTAAGCTTGTTACTGGGGTTTGTAAGGAATGAAAAAGAATCTGAGTATAGGGGGAGAAGATATCGAGACAGAGGAGATCAAATTAGGACGACCGAACCCTTGACTTAATCACCATCTTTCTTAAAATTTTCTTTAGTCTTTCATTGGGAGTTGTATCCACCCAGTGGTGTGCAGAGCGGTTGTCGCATACAAACCTATTGCACGCCTAAACTCGACCTAACTCAGGCTCTCGAAAGACTTCGTTGAAAATTGGTTCGTATAACAGCTGACTGCCGAGTCCCAAGGCCTCGATCACGTTTGAATCCTGGGGAAGGAATTTTTTATTGGTCCTTTAATATGATATTGTTTTTTCCAGGCTTGTGACAATTTGTTTATTTTACTGAGACGGTAAAATTGACAGTACAGGAAGAAAGGACTTTGGTTTCATATATTTGGACGTTGGTAAACAGATACTTTTTCACTAGAGACAGCCGGTTTTTCTTTCCTGAAACAAATATTTACGTATGTCATAAGTCAAGAAAATGCATTTCTGTTTGAGTTTCAACCATTTGAAACGTTAGGTATCAAAGAGCAATTCCCTTTTAATCGAAAAAACGCTCTTAGATTTGATGACATCAAGACGCTGCTCGGCAACGATTTGAGACCTTCCACGATTCTTTCGACTTTGCCCAAAGTGACGCTCTGCATTCCACTGCAATAATCTCCTCAGGGAGAGTATTGCCAGCAATCCGTTTCCTCAATTTAAAGCCATCCAGCATTATTGCCCCCTACTTGATGTTAACTCCTCTAATTATTCATGTTGAGAATGCAGGACATCTGGAGACTCACGGAGTCCTTCTAAGATTCTTGGGATCTCCAGCGGACCCCTAAACACTGCAACCGATGGAGAGTGCCTCAACGTAGTTTTTTTCACTACTTAATGAACAGTGACTGCAGTTTTAGTAAGCCTCTCATCTAACATATTTAAGGTTAAACTGGCCCTAACTAATAATTTGTCATTGGTTATGATAATGTGATGGCAATTGACTTCTGTTACCGTATGTACTTACTCTTCAGCCTTGATATCCACGACTTGTTGTTCATTTTCAGTCTTCTAAAGGAAAATTCACGCAAGAAAANTGACAGCCTGAGGACAGTGCGTTTTTCAGAAATGGTTTTCTCCTAATATGATCTGTTTGTTTCCAGAGTGAAAGTCAGGTGGTAGTTGATTCAAAGGAAAACAGTTTTTACTTTCTAATTATGTGCTTACGGAAAATGTAAACAGTGACGCGATGTATGATTTTCCATTTGTTCGTTATGTATAACTCAGTTTTAAAAAGTGAGCAAAACGATAGAAGGAATGAAAATAAAAGCAAACAAACAGAGCTCTATACATTTCCAAAAATTCGCCAATCTTCAAACAACTGCTGCTTTTGAAAAGTACAAACAAATGGCGAAGGGCATCTACTCAATTAGAGCATGCGCTGTTTTCAATGGTGTCGAGGAACCGCAAGGGAGGAAAACACAACGAAAGCTAGAATAAAGGTTGAGAGCATCATCAGCTAAGAAGAACTCAAAGTAAAAACAGGCAAACTGCATGAACTCGCGACTGGTTTTAGTTTTGTGTCTGATTTGCTGAAAGCGCGTGGTGCCAATTTTCTAGCCCAATAACAGAGCGATGTACATTAGGTAAGGATTTAGACCCCAGGGACAGTAGGTGCGATTTGGGGGTCAATGCGTTTGCTTTACCAACTTTTGTGCCACTGCAACAAGATAGGAGACACTAGTTTATAGCTTGTATAGCTGTTTAATTTGTAATTGAGACTACATAATTCTAAACAACTGTATCTGGGCATAGAAAGGCTATGCATTAAATCTTCTGTTTATGTATTAGTGGAGCTTGCTTGTTCATCAAGGACAGCGTGCAATTCTGGCTCCTGTGTCCACCTTGTCCCTTTTACCCTGTCGCAAGATCATATCAAAAGGTCAGTGGTTATAGCCATGGCTTTATTTTGCCTAAAATTAAACAAATACCAAGTTATTTTTATGAGTGACTGCTAATAGTGATGATGATGATAAACTAAATCAGAGTATACGACCATGGTAAAATTCCTGTTCCACTCAATTCCGATTGCTGCGACTCAATATTTACAAAAATGGAGTTTAAGTGAACTCAGCATTAACAAAAAAAGCTCAATCTTTCGTTGAATTTCCACTTATTATCTTTAAGGTATGAACAAAAACACACTCGATTCCAGAACGTTTA